AAATGCTCCACTTTTGTACCTGACTGCAAATTGACTACTTATATTTTGAGATTATTATATTCTTTAGTACAAATATTTGCCTGCTTTTTTGTATGCTGCCCTGATGTCCATTCGAACACATTGACTCTTATGTGTCCTCGAGATCAAAACACAGAAAGTAGGCTTGTTATGAGTGGCTCAAGATAAAGACAAAGACATATTTTAGGCTATTTTCTAATTATCTGATTCGTTTTTGAAAAGCATACAGCAGTAATTCTCAAAGTGTGTTCCCCAGGTCAATAGAATCCAACCTGGGAATTTGTTAGAAATGTAAATCACTGGGACTTGACCCAGACCTACCGAATCAAGTACTCTGGGGGTGAAGTTCAGCAATGTGTGTTTTAATAAGCTCAGCAGATAGTTCTGATGCATGCTGAAGTTCAAGAACTATTGGCATGGAGTATTATCTCTGTTAAAGCAGTGATCTTAAATTCCCTGTTGCCTCAGCATGTATAAAGTTGAGCAGGTAGTGTCAAGTGAAAAATAATGGAGGTTAATTTCTTTCCTTTCTGGTTTAGAGTTTCCTAGCTAATGACTGAATCCATATGGCTAATCGGTTTTACAATGAATTTCAATGAGCTACACACACACACTTTTGGGCAATCAGAGGCAATTTCTAATTGACATATTAAATTAACCAGTAAAGTTAAAAGTAATATAAATAGGCATCTAGGAAACTAGAGAATAATCAAATTGCTCCTTAAAGTATACACATTTTTAGGACAATGGGGCTATGGTCCAGACTTGTTGGCCCTATTCAGACTGATATATGTGAGAGTTACTCTCATAGGAAATTTTACCACCATGAGATGAATCAGAAGATTCAATCCTTTTTTGAGACATGTCAATAAAAACAGCATTATCATTGTACCTTTCATAATTTATCTGCCTTATGTCAGCAGAGTGAAAGAATTTAGCTGAACAAACAACCTCTCTTTCCCCTAAATGTCTTAGTAATGGCTAACTATAATAGAATTTAAAGTACTCTCAATAGTTAGTAGGCTCTATTGTAAAACAGATTCTACCATGATGATTGTACCAATACAATAATGTAAGGGAGTAATGCATGGTCTAAATCAATAACTACAGTATAAGTTCTGCAGAGTTTCATAACCAATATCTTATGACTTTCTGAAAAGAAATTAAATTTTAGGTTACTTAATTTTTTTTCATATACTTGTACAAGTTAGATGACAGATCAAGGAAATATAAAAAAAGTCCTCTCCATGGGCTGTAGGCTGTGGCAGTAAATTTAGTTATAAAATGAACACTAAATATTTATTTGCAATTGATATACACCAAATTATATTCATAAAATAATTAAGCCAGTAAAATAATGTAAGCTAAAATGTATGTTTTACTTTTGAGCTATTGCAGGATAATAAAATAATCATCCACCAATGAACAAAATTATTACATGTCATCCTGATAATAGTTTTGCTGTTATTTTGTTATAAAGGGACAGGTATTGTAGTATGAGGATGGTAGTGTAAATAATTTAACTGCTAGCTCAACTAAGTCCTTAACATGGGTTGGCTATTTATTCTTTTTTAGTATAGTGATTTCCAAAACTATATCCATATTAAAAAAAATCACTTGAGATGCTTTAAAATAAAAAAGAAAGAAAGAAAAAGAAAGAAAAAATAGACTCTGGATCTCGTTCCTAAAGGTTAGTATTTCTTCATGGTTTAGGAGATTTTTTTTGAAATGTTCTTTAGAGGAGTTAGAGATATTATGCCAAAACATGTTCTTGATTTGTGTGTAGAGAAGCGTGTTGGAAAGTCACTTCATAGGAGAAGAAATTGAGCGGTTCACTCTTATATTTTGATTTTTTTTTCTAAATAGGGCATTAGAAAATAAACGTGCTGACATGACCCACAGGATATTGTGTGTGCAGTTGTTTAACAGTGATTGCTTAAGTGACTGCTTTTGGAGCCATTGTCAATAACGTAATCCCAACATTGTCATAGCATGAGGCCATGCTTCCATCCTGGACTCATAGGGAAAGCAGATTTTTTTCCAACCAAAAAAAAAAAAAAAAAAAAAAAGCTTTTAAACAATCCTTCTGTTTTCAGAAGGAAAAGAGGCTTATTCTGTAAAGAACAAACAACTGCCCCAACGACACACTGATCAGGTTAAAGCAGCAGAGAGCTGGGGCATCCATCATGCAACCATGCCTGCAAGCGGCCAGCCCTTTGCAGATAGTATTAGAGGCAAGCAATGTTGTTGTTAGAAGCCAACTAGTAAATGCATGGCATTAAAAACTATTTTGAGCAAATGCACACGCAATCATTTGCTCTTTAATTTTTGTAGCAAGAAGTTCACAACCTAGCATGGATGGTAGGGGGCAACATAATAAGATACTCTTAAAAGAAGAAGAAGAAGGTATAGGCTAGAAAGTTATCCCTTAGCAACACCAGTTAAGGTTTTATAATCAGTTCCACTGTAAGAAAAAAACTGGGAGTTGGCATTAATACACAGTGTATAACCTTTAAAGGCAATTGAACATGTCTGTATCAAGTGCTATATATACTTCTCATATCAAAGGATGAATTGTTTCATTTTCAATCAAATCCTTTTTCATCTTCGTAAAAGCCCCAAGGAATCCTTTTAGATACTGTCATATATAGATAACTTTATTAGAAAAACTCTGCCTATTATTTTGCAATTCTGCTGCCTAGAGTAGGCTGAGTGTAGCAACCAGCAACTGTAGCATAATTCTGTATTAATTAATCTTATTTTTGTCTGGGAGGATGCATGTTACATTCAGACTTGGATTCTGGTCTTTCTTTTTCTTGACATTTCATTAATCCCTATGTCAATGCTGACTGGGCCTGCCTAAAGCTTTTCCTTAGCAATAGAAGACAAGAGATGAAAAGGAAAGAGGATAAGAGAAAAAAAAATTATGCATAGAGAAAGAGATAAAAGAGGAGAACAGAGTAAAGAGATGGAGGAAGGAGATGAAAAATATTTAAATGTAGGAAAAGAAGGGAGCTAGGGTCAATGCTATCTCTTGGACAGATTACATTGTTAGAAACTAGGCATTAATTTCATTACAGTTATTTATTTAATTAGATTTTACCTTCAAATTATGTCTGAGAAATTTAGCGAATAGACATTGCAAGAGTTATAAAATGAAAAGGCACCAAACTCAGTATTTCTGTTTTCATTATTTTCTCCAGGAAGTAGAAGAGTTCTGTGATATACTCATATATTTGAAATTAAAATTATTATGTGAGACCAGTACATTTCAAACTAGCAATTTTATCTGAAGTAAAGTGTCTATTTTTGGTTGGTAAACAAGCCACCCCATGACATTTTTGGTTAGCAGGTGGCTTAACCAATAAAGTTTCCTTTAAGTATAGGTGTGATTTGTGTAATTGGTCTGTCTTTTCTAATTTGTCTGATTAAATTCAGCTCAGCAATATATTATTCACATTGAAGTTCACACACAGAACAGTCATGAAACAGTAGGAGCATAAGGACAAATTTCTGGAAATACGACATTTTAAATATAACTTATTCTTAAATGATTTGTAGGCTTTAAAATTCACTGAAAGGAGACAGTATTTCCCACAAGAAATCAATAATTTATGCACTACTTTTCTAAACAGTAAGTGGACCTAAAGTCTGAATATAAAACATCACTAAAATTAAAAAGGAAATATCAAGTTATGATCCCCAATTGCTTGTGTTCACCTAATTCAGCAGAAGAATTTTCAAATGAGTTTGATGCTGTCAGCCCATGCAAAAAGCATTAACATACTTTAGGAAATGAAGCCTTATAAATTAAATTGAGATTGCAATGGAAACATAACTTATAAAATTTCATTTTTTTTTAAGTTCTGCACCATCACACCTGTCTCCTAGTGCTTCTCATTTGAGGGATGCTAAATAGCAGGTCCGTTTTTCAAAAGACTGAAAAGGAAATAGACATGGGGGGAAATGTACAAATGTCTCCTTGGGGTTTAGAGTAAAATCACATGTGAGTAGGCCAATCTTAAAAGAAGTATTTGCAGTGTCATAAATTCAGAAATACAAGGGATGTTTGCCTTGAAATCCAGCCTAGGTTTATATGCCTCTCATAACCTTTGTCACAGTAAGGAACGATGTAAACAAATCTTAAATAGAAATATCCATCTACATATTCTTGACATAACCACCCTTTGGATTATTTCACCGGGGTAGGGGGCTCCATGACCCTCCCTCTCTGCACCTTCTTCAGTCCTCAGTCCCCAGATGCTCACAACAGTTTGTGCAAGAGAAGACTCTGGCAGGCAGGAAGAGGCAGGTGCACAGCTAGTATTTTGCTGTCTGTCTGTTCCAAACAAGCAAATGAGAATAAGAAAGAAGTGCAATGGTCTTTAGGTGTGTGTGTCGGGAAACAGCCAGGTAAAGGATAAGAAGCTTACGATCACAAACCTCATAAAAGAATCTTTCTGCTTCCTTCTTCTGCTCATGGAATGGCAAGTCAAAAGTATTGGACAAAGACATGACACATTACAGACACAGCACACAACACATTTTTAACAGAACTTTTTCAATGTGAAAAATAAACCTCCGATACACAAAAAAACAGTAACACCACATCAGAACAAACATAGATATCAAAGTGACATTGTACAGGACAGTAAAAAACATTTATGATTTTTGGAACTTTATAGATTATTAGCATATACATCTGTGTATATGTGATTATACACACACACACACGTACACACAAATGAAGGGCTACTGGTTATCTTACTCTTCCCACCTCCCATTTCACACTTCTGATGTATTTGCTATTCTGTTGTGGATAATAATCATTTTAGTTGTTAATGGGATTTTAGATTATTATCAGTTCATGTTCTCAGCTAAACCATGTAAACCTGGATTAAGACACTTTCTATAGCAAGAGATACACTGCTAATGATCTCTAGGTAGGTATTTGGTAAATGTAGGAGTAAAAACATACCCACCTCTTTTCCTCCCATGGATTCAAACATTTTTTCCAGCTGGACCCGCAATTGTTGAATATTGTTCATCAAAATACAGGGCTTTAAATAAGAAAAAAGAAGAGTATTGTGAGTAATATTTATATATTAAGTTATTGAATGAGTTTAATTTAAAAGTGGTAATCACTGACATCTTACTATATTTGGTATAACAACTGAGAATAGAAAGGGAAAAATATAATGCCACTTTGGGGAATGAAATTTAATAACATACTCAGACAATAAACCATTGCAGACTTGCTACTTAAGTTTCTTTTACCTTTAACATTATAGCATTTCATACTTAGAAATTAACCATATTCTGTTTTCATAGATTTGTTTTGTGACAGATTAAATTCTTCTGTTATTTCACTATCTAAAAATGAAAACACCATCTGAATTGTTTAAATCCAAGAAAAGAAAAAAGAAAAAAAACTTCAAATGAATTCTCTGGCTGTAGATAGAGCCCATATGCTGGCACTCAAGGTTCTTTGTTTCTAGCTGTAATCCATGTTTCCCTTCTCATTTTCCTCTTTGCTTATTTGAATTAGATCTATCATTTAGGTTAGAGCTCTCCCTTTCCTAGATTTTATTTTTTATCACTCACTTGGCATTTGTTTTATATTACTTTATATTTGAGTTGCTTTTCACTGTCTCACCAGCTAACCTTAAATACACTGTGCCATGGTGCTATGCCTTTTTCTGCTTTTCTTATTCCCAGATTACTGTATAGCACTTTACCCATAATACACGCTTCAAAAATGTTTTTCCACTTGTTTCCAAAGAGGCAGAAATACAAAAATAACAAAATGTAAAGCTTTGTGACAGAACTACATGTGAACTCAGGATAGAGAAATTAATAATTGGAAGACAGAATTCAGAATAGTTACAGAATCATTTAATATTTGCTGTGCATTGATTCCTAATACGAATTCCAGTAGGAAGAGAAAACAAAGAAAGGAAAATGAATATATCTTCCAAGTTGCTGGGAAATAAGCCAATACTGAGTCAGAGAGAGTCATGCAAAGGACTCATGGGATGTCAGAGAGATGCTAGCTCTCTTCAATGGGAAGATTTTATTATTGATTTCCACATTACTGGTCTTGGAAAAATTTCTACTTGACTCTTAAAGTGACCACATACTAACTTCAATTTATGAAAACAGTTTTCAATTTCTGTTCCCTTGATTCTAGTTGTTTAAGTTTTATTTTTTCAACACAGATATCTGAGAATTATCCCCCAGAAATTCTGATTCAGTAAGCTGAATCAGAATGCTTCACAAATGATTCTGACTCCTAGCCATGATTGAGAGCTACTTAGTCCTTAAATACAACTGAATTTTCAGGAAATTCAGTATCTTGACCCAAAGTCCATAAATTGAGCCAATAGACAAATTTTCCAATAAGAAATAAGGTTACTGGTATCTTCTTTTAATTGTAGAAGAGGAAGATATGGTTTGAATTTGGGAAGTCCTACTAGGGAGAAATCCAAAGTCAAAGTAAGACCATGACTTGTAATGAGAAGCGGGAAGACTACATGGATGTAACTATTTTATCACCTTTCTGCCCATGCATGGGTCTAAGTTTGCTGGGTAGAATCTTCTGTGATTATTTGACATTAGCATTGAAGCTTCTTTTTGTTGGCATATATAACAGTACTCTTGTACTAGCTTTATAATTAAAGGCCGTGGCCAAGTCTTCTTATTTATTTATTTCAGCATATTATGAGGGTGCAAATGTTAAGGTTGCGTATATTGCCCATGCCCCCATTGCCCCCTCCCACCCGATAAATGTTATTCCTATATGTCCACTTAAGTCTTGACCTGTTAGTACCAATTTGCTGGTGAGTACATGTGGTGCTTGTTTTTCCATTCTTGAGATACATCACTTAGTAGACTTCTTAATATAATCATTTCTGATGAAAAAGAGCTACTAAGAACAAAATTAACACAGACAGTTGTTCTCCCTTGACATGGATTGCTATTGATCCCAAGTAAGGTCTACAGAGAAAAAAGAGACAGCTATCTAAAGGGAGATAAAAATAAATATGAGACTCTCCCCTTTCATTAAGCTTTCCCTGACCTTGAAATGTTCAAAATTCAATTTTATTGAATTAAATTTGTCAAATCACTACTGAGATCTAGATTATACAAATCTACCTTCAATTTAATCATAAACCAGCTTTTACTTTAAACAACTCTATAGTAAGTGCAAAAACCAAAATCCGTAGTAAAGCGAACAGTAACTGATTCAGACATATTGCTTATTGAAGAGTTTAGTAAGATAAAATAACTTATGTTTGAAGTTAAGTGATATCTTCTTATTTATATATTTTGACTGTTCTCTAAAAATATGCATTTCATTTTATCTCATGATGGAACAAACTTAGGAACCTGAAATATGATGAATATGCAAGTTAGTTTTGTTCAGACTGGGGCATTTCTACATGGGTAAAGTGTTTCTGTATTGAAAAAGATTAAAAAAATATTAAAAATAAAGTAACTCTGATTTCAATAGTGATACCTTGCTATATTTTGAAATATGGAAGAAAATGGATGAAAATGTTTTGACCCATTTCTAATTTAAAATGTCACAGTAAAAAAAAAATTATTCTGAGGTGGACATTTCATTAATGTTTAACTCTGGTCTTTGATTCTGACCCCTGAGAAATCAAATGTTATGGTCATATCTTAAATGATATCTTTCTTTAGAAGTTTCTAGCTCAATTTGCAGATGAAATAGATATACTGAGAAAGTTCAGTGTACAAGTTTCAATGGTCCTGATATTGAAATAAATTTGTAATAACAGTTATATGTACCCATGCAAATATACAAAAGCACTTCAGCTTGTCTCAACTGAAATTATAAACCAAATAGCTAAGCGATATTCTTTCGTAAAAGCTAAAATGATACTTGGTATTTAAGCAATAGAGTATGAGGCTGGTCAAGACATGAGTAATTGTGGAACAAACAGACTGAGGGAAGGAAAAGGAAGTTCCTGTACTATAATATTTCTAGGACTTTTTTTTTCTCTTTGTAAGATTTAATGTTTAAAAGTATAAAACATACAGAAAAAGTACATAGAATAATATAATAGTTATTGATTTATGTTTTCATGTTTTTAAAATATAAACTATAATATAGAATATTATTAATAATACATAAAGTAGAAGTCTCCAGGGGCTTTTAAAAATTAATTTTCCTTTCTGAATGGCAGGAATTAGCTTTAGTAGTTCACAGACACCTTTCAAAATCTTCAATTTGGCTATCATAATATAAATAGAATCTCTTCTGAAGTTATCAGATACTGTTTGGATTTTTAATATAACACTTTAGATGTGTATTATCATTTAATTAGAAATATATGCTTTTGATAAATCAATACTCTACCTTGCTTTTAGAATATTTATAATCAATGACAATTAGAAATCACTGCTGAGATGTCTGGAAATTCTAACAAAATTTCTGGGCAGCATATTAATTTAAGATAAAGAGGCATCTTTTGGATTTCTCAAGAATCATTAGGACTGACTTATCTTAATGAACTGTCAGCAAGAGGTCAATGAGGTTTCAGGGAGAAGACTAGTAGCTTTCCTTAGAATTCGTGTAGACCGGCTGATAGAATTGATTTTTTGAGGGGAGAAAAGATTGGTTTTTCTCCTAAAAACTATTGTACTTATTTTTTTTAACACTTGTTTGTTTCAATGCTGCTCTTTTATAAACTTCTTACAATGTTGCCAACATATTTCTCCTAATATTACAGATTGAATAAGAAAGCTTTCTCCTTCCATCATAAAATAACACTAATTGTATTGCAAATAACTTCAGTTTATCTTGCTTCCCTTTATGCCTTTTATTAAGTTGTAATACTCATTTGAATTTTATAAATATTTCCCCAATATTCAAAAAAGGGTAAATTAATCATTAGGAGTAGAAATCAGCATCATTCCATACATTAATCATCCTTCTCAATTTATTTGAAAACTGAAAGACTAAATTATACTAATTTTAGTATTGGTGTCATAATGAAACTAGGTGGTACCAAGATTTATCTAGTTTTTAACTATCCAATATTCATCTCCAATATTTTATGAATGCGAGTTTTCAATTATTTATGCTAGTCTTCTTCCTTAACAATATGGAAAACCACAAGTTGGCTATATCAAGACACTCAACCTTCCTGTGAATTAAAACAAGCTCAAGACTACTAGAGAAGTTTTCAAACAATTTCTTGAGATTGCTATTTTTTATCATCCACTATGAAAACAGAAAGCAAACAATTTCTCTTCCTTATTCACAGTTTGAAGAAGTAAACCTCAATGATGGATGCTTGAAAGTAGAGACATTTTTACTTACCACATTTTCCTTATCACAATATGAACTGAAATCACTTGATACAATTGCAGCATACTGGAGCAGCACTTTATTGATGGTCTAAGACAGAAAACATTGTGAAATTATCCAGGTATGTGGTTTTACACCTATTGCTACACAGGTTAATGCTAAGTAAGGCAAATTTTTCAGATGTCTTTTCTGTTGAGAGGGAGCCATAAGCGGTGCTTCAATCTATGCCCTTGTAAAAAATAAGGATCTCAACTTTATTCAGAAGATATATTGACCTCTTGTGGCAACCTCCTCTATTTTTAGAGACTTACAATGGAATGATGTCTAATGCTTCTCCCCTCTACCCCCTGAATAGATACCTTATGCTTTGAATCATCTCTTATGGTGTCTAGTCCCTACCCACCCCTTCTACCTACCATGCCAAAATTTTTCATGGTGGTCATTTTCTGAACTTTCTCCAGTGTTCCTAAAAACCTTGTTTATAAGTGGGGTCAGAGTATTCCTGAGCACATCACTTAGCTATGACTATTTTCAGTATTTTCCTGCAATGATGAGTCATATTGAGTACTATCAAAAACTACCTCTTAAAACCTAAAATTCCAGCTTTTACATTACACTATTTCTATACCTCAATTTATTTACCTTTTGTTTATTAAGTTACTAACACATTATTTGCTAAAAATATAGCTTTAGCTTTCCCCTCTTGCTGTCCTTTTCCTCTTAATTCTATATTTTCTTTCACTCTCTACTATTTCTGAGCCTAAGAATGTCGTTTGTTTTTATTAATTACACAAAAGAAGCATGAACCATGTTCATTAAATTTCATTCCAATTACTTAAAGATATATTGAGTTTCCATCCTACTGCTTTTACATATAGATTGAATTATAGTAAACTACATGTGGATGTCATTTCCTTACGTGAGATAGAGCATCAGTGAAAGAAATATGTTATCTCTTTTCATAGAAAAGCAAAGACAAAACGCTTTTTACTTTCTTTTGTGTACAACAAACTTGTCTAAGTTTTCTTAGCGGCTCAAAATCTACTGGGGGTGACACTCCAAGGAGTTACCTGAAAAAGAGATGTTTAACCTGTAAAGGAGAATTCACTAAATTGACTATGAACTTGTTTTATAGACTTTTAAAATCACAATGAAAACCTGAAGTTAGGGATAGCATGCAGACAGAAAGTTGATACTTTGTAGAAGGACACAGTAATATGGCAACAGGCATCAATTTAATTAGAAAGTCTACCTTGAAAATTATAAAATCTTATCAAGCAGCAGGCCAATAAATCTAGGAAAACAGATGGCTGATCAGACTATCTTAAATGTGCCTCTTCAAATTTTACTTTAGACATAATGTTGAATTACTCCAGGCTTACCTAAGGGAGTATAATTTATATGTACATATAAACACTACTCTCAATTTGCAGTTTCTTAATGACAATTAAGCTTTAAGAATCATTTTACTCTATTGCAAAAACAAAACAAATGCAACCCATAATCCTGACTTTAGGAGATTGTTATAACACAGATACTATGACTTGCTTAAGATAAAGTTTGGACAGCATGAAAATCCTCTATAACTCAGTATCATTTAGATACTTGCTGGGTATCTGTTCAGACTGACTTACTGAACAGCTTTTTTTTTTTTTTTTCCTTTTTCCCCCTCTGAAGAAAGGGGAATCTGGACATCCTTTTATGATTATTCTCAAGGTATCTCCCATGCTCTACAGCTTGGCTCTATTTCATAAGTCTGTTCCCCCTACCTTCTCACCCCCACCCCCAGTCCCTTGAATTTCTGCTTAGAGACAACTGATCCTGGGATCTCACATCCACTAATCTACAAATGCCAAGGAGAAGAAGCCAGGATGAGCTACAAGTAAGGAAAACTTCACAGTCTTGTAGGATATAGTTTAAGATTGTGTTCCCATAAGAGTTATAGGTACACTGCTGGGATAACCCCCATCTATTTACTAATGTAAAAAGCATACCTGAATGAGAATGTACAATGCACATTTTAGGGAACACTTTAAAATATCATTCTAATTTATTCAACTAAGTAAATCACTACCAGGCATTAGTTCTTTCATACTAATAAGTAGCTGCATATGACATATTTCTTAAGTCATTGGTTCTCAGAATGTAGTTCTGAGATCAGCAACAGCATAAACATCACCTGGGGATTTGCTAGAAATGCAAATTTGCCGGTCCTATCCTAGATCTACCGAGTCAGTAACTCTGGAGGTGGGCCCCAGCAGTGTGTTTTGACAAGCCTCCAGGTGATTCTGATGCATGCTAAGTTTGAGAACCACTGTCCTAACTAATGAATGGCCGAGCGGAGGTAACTCTTAAGAGAGAACTGCTGATGGAAAGGGTAGCTGACAAGGCCTGGAAGATAGGACTCCTGGGTGTGTGAGCTTAAGTCATGATTTTATCTTTGGGGAACTGCTGGTCTTCAGTAGACGTGCAGAGGAAGATGCAACAGACAGCTTAGCAGGCGCTGTTTGCATTTTGTTCTATTATAAAACACAGCTTATATGAAGAGCTAGTCATGAGGTGCAGAGCCTCTTCTATGGATACACCAAAAGAACTGCAATTCCAAGAGCTGCTGATTAAATAAGATGAAATTCTAATAGGATTGTGGCAGGAAAGTCAGTGATTCTGCGGCGTTTAAAGGATCAGACAGGACGACTAAAATATCTCCCAGCCTAAATCAGTTCTGATTTGACATGCAGCTACTGGTGGAGCATTGAGTGGGATGGACGTCAACTACTCAGACAGAGCCATTGTGGTTTCCTGAACTAATGTCACACTAGTAGGAGTGGGCTACATATCCTGTTAACACTCCCAGTTGTCCCATCTAGTGTATTGCTCTTATGATCAGCAAGATAAGAACTCTGGTTCAAACTGCATCTTTTCATTAACTTTTTATGCATGGAACAATATAGTATTAGAGCAATGCAAGGAGATTTTATCATATCACTCGAGCAACATTAGAAATGTGACTTGAATGCTTTATGTGCTATATTTTAACATATGCAACTTAAGAGAGCGTTCTCCATTTCCTCCGCCACAGATGCATAGGTTTGGCCGTAAGAGTAAAAATAAACAATGGCAGTCTATACTCCAAATTACCGATTGATTTCTGATTACACTGGATGAGGTGGGAGCATTGCTTAGTGGTTAAAAGCATTCCGTCCATACCAATTATAGTTGTATGCCTTGTTTCAGTGGTTTAAACTTTTTGAGCCTGTTTTATCATTTGAAAATTTAGGGAAAATAACAGTACTCATTTTCTGGGGTGGCTGTGAAGAATAAGCAAGACAATATATACAAAGTGTTAGCATAAAATAATGTTCAAAGGATTATCCTTATTAATTTTTAAAATTAAGATTAGGTTCCCAGAGAACAAAGAACGAGAATGTGTGTGTCTCATTCACCACAGAACTTCCTGCACCTGGCAGCCAGGCTCATACCCAGGACTCAATATTTGTTTTTTTTTTGTTTTAAGTAGTATTAAAGATGTCTCTACTTCATATCTCTTTTTTGAAATCAAACTACCTATACTTGTCAAGAGCAGCAGTATAGTCATAGGAATATTCACTACTCACATGCCATTGTATCACTCATTACAGCTCCTGAGTGTTCTTGATATGAAATTGGAAACATTTTTTTGGAGCCTTATTCAACCCTACAGACTCTTTAGTAAGAATGAATTATCCCTTTGAATTCCATTTTAGAATGCTAAATCTTCTAAAACTGCAGTCCCCAACATCCCTGGCTGTGGCCTGGTATGAGTCCTTGGCCTGTTAGGAACTGGTCCACGCATGACCAGCTGAGCTCCCCCTCCCTCCATCCCCCTCCCCTCCTTATCCCCCTCCCCTTCCGTGGAAAAACTGTCTTCCATGAAACTCCACCCATCCTGTCTGCAGATATCATCAATACGTCTTATCTCCAGGAGGACTGTTTAAATCAATATAAGTTCCAGAAAGACAACGTGATTCCAGTATATTTTGATAAAAGGATCCCATTTTACATAACCTATCTGCCTGACTGCTCTGAGGATGAAATCTAGTTACTTTTCTAATATTGGGTACCATTATAATAATATGTCACTAAATATATTAACTCTTAGATTTTTAAATTCTCATATGATCCTGTTTTCACTACAAGTCCTACAGAATTCCAAGAATTTCATGTGACATGCTTTTTCAAACACTATCCCTAATGACCCAGTTTCATTCTTTCTCGGCATTCATCCAAAATGCAGCATCTCATCAAGAAAAGACTTAGAGAATCCTTAGAATTATCCTCCTGCAGATTTCACCATATTGGGAAATGGAAATCATCAAAGGGGACTATGAAATCCCCTCTAAGAATGATTCAAGTAAATGATTTTTAGCAATTATGTTAAAAAGTGGGAAGTTAGCCTTCCTAATTAATACATAAAACGATGTGAGTTCAAAATATTTCATGGCAAATAAATACTATAGTACTGTTTAGGCTGACAGCTTGTCTTTCCACAAAGCTTCACTGGCTCTTCATTTTTCTGCTAAATAAGTTCAGCCACTTTCTCTGTTCTTTAAGGCTCTTTACGATGTGAACCTAATTGTCCAATCTTAGCTCCATGAGCCTTCTAGGAACTCTATGCTTTCTCCCCTTTGGGACCTCTTAGGCTAGAATCCTGGAGTCATAGAATGGTGGAGAGCTCGATTACAGGATCACCCACCCTATTTCTGATGTTTTGTGAGCAGGAAGTACGTTTTCGTGGGGTTAAACCATAGAGTTTCTGCGTTTGTTTCCTCAATATGAACTATCCTATCACACATAATAAAGATGCAGTCTCCTGGAAGAGATCTTCCCATATCCATCAATCAGAGAACGAAATTTAAATGTTTCTAAGAGAGGATCAGGACAAAACCTTCCATTCATAAAGGACTTGAACTTTATAAAGGATTTTTTATAATGATGCCAAATGCAGTTATGTTCTCATTGTGTTTGTCTCTGTGGTTAAAAGCAGTAGCATGTTAAATGTACACATCTGTTATAGGCTGAATTGTACGCTCAAAATTCATAAGTTGAAGTCCTAACCCTCAATACTTCAGAATGTGACTATGTTTGGAGACAGGGCCTTTAAAAAAGTAATTTCTGTTGTTTAAGCCACTCAGTCTCTCAGTCTGTGGTTTATTATTATGGCAGCCCTAGCAAACTAATCAAACAACTATTACACAATTTAAATTAGGTTTTGGCATTTTCTTATTTCTTAACATGCCAAATATATACATGCGTGTATATATATATATGAATGTGTCATAGTTGTTTATAGTTTTGGCCCTACCATTACAAGTTTTCTTGAAGTCAGAGAGTATGCTTGTCCATGATTACATCTCTCAAGGTGGCTAAGAAAGTGTGCAAGTGAGGCAATCAAGTAAGCACTTGTTGAATTAACAGCTGAAACCTCAATCATCATTCAACCCATGGAGCCAGATTTATATTTAGATCAGCCAGACATAGAACTGTAAAAGTATTTTCCCTAAATCACTATGTTTGTCATGTCACTACCCTGCATAAAAATCTCCAAATGTTTAGGGTTTCCTAAATTTACATCTAATCTTCTCAACCTGGAAAGCAGAGCTCCTCAAGGTCTGGGCCATGTTTACTCTCTCAACCTTTCCTACTGCTTCCCCCAACCTCCAAAGGGTGTTTCTCTCTGTCCTGGCCATGTCATGCTCAGGTTTACCTGTCCGTTTGTTCTCATTATTCCTCTGGCTTAGGACACTTTTCTAACTTCACCTCTTTAGATTTCTATGAGCTCTGGTTTTACCAGGAAGCCTCTGTCTATTTCAGCTCTCATCATATTTCCCTCCTCTCAATTCACTGTAGATCCCACAATGCTTGAAGCTGAACTGTGTCCCTTTCATGCCATCTTCTAATTAGTTTATGTCATGTGTTCTTGATTATTATGCAGAATTTTTTTTTTTTAAGATTTGATGGACAGAGATTGCTTCTTTTATTTCTTATATTTCCCTTGAATTGAAACTCTTGGCAAAGAAGTAAGCACCTAGCAAGCCAACTTAGATTTTAAGAGAAGAGGTGTTAAGAGAAATTTGGTTGAACAAAATCAATCTGTCAAATATGAAAACTAAATTCATAAAAAACTGAAGAAGTCAGATTCACACTGTAAATATTGGTTGATTTGTAATCAGAACTCAGTTTTCATGACTCAAAGTCCAGTATACTATACTACAGTGTCTGCTAAAACATACTTGTCAACTTGCATATAAAATGCCAAGAGTTACTTTCAGCTAGAAAGTCACATTAGAAATAGGAATAATTTGATCATCCATGACAGTCTCTTCAATTATAAGTGACTGACTGAGTCATCAATGTGAACAATAGTTTTTTAAGATGAAAAATCCGTATTAAAGAAATAGGAAATCTAGTAAATACGATGAAAATCTTACAGACAACTGAACCTATTAGTACAGAATTACAAAGTAGATTGGGGTAGTGGTGTCAGAGAAGACTAATATTATAAAACAATGGCATTTTTCAGGTTGCCAAAGTCCCTGGGGAGAATAAAAAAGAAAGATCATTCCATTTAACCTACCTTTGCAAATCTCCTCATTAAGTGAGATAATGTTTCAGGATTAGGGCATTCCAGTTTCTTAATAATCTCAAAGCTTTGATTAAGCTGAGCAAAGACATCAACCACGGAGCAAGAGAAGAGGGCATGATCAGATGTCTGCTGGAACTGAGGGGAGAGGAGGTAAAACCATCCCAATAAGAGCATTAGTAAGGGTGTGGAAAGAATCTTCATTATTCTTCAACAACTAAATCTTTCATACCATTTACCTTCATTTCCCAGTAACAAAATGCTTACTCACTTTAAAATCATTCACCTCCTTTTCTGGAAAGTGTAGTGGAACTAATATCCTGGGCCAACCTACTGCTGATTGGTTTTTCCACTGTTGAATTGAGGGACTGGTTCTTTCATATTTCTCCTTCCTCATGGTCATTAGAATAGCTTAACAAGCTGGCTGTGGCTCAAGACTTTGAGAGATGCTTTAGAAGGACTGGGAGGCTACCTGCTCCTAATCTAGAAATCTCAGAAATGTTACAGGACAACACAGAAGTTTTGTACAAGCTTGGGGAACTTGTAGATTCAGACCAATTTGAGAAGGAAAGAAGAATCTTGGGACAAATGGATGATTGATTTTTTTTTAATTTAAGCAATTCTCTACAGTTCTAACCAGCCCTTTGAAATCATGTTTTAAACTTATTTTGGTCATGATGGAATCAAAACAAAATCACATTAGTAACAATAAGCCTAACCATTTCTATTAGCTTAAAAGCAAGTAATGTGACTGAATTGTGGCAATTTAAACTCACTCCATCTTTTTTGTCTCTTCCCAGTGCTCCATGAAGGAACTCCATTGATACATCTTCATTTTCATCTAGCCACTGCATGACAAAAGGTTCAAACCACCTAAAAAAATTAATCATGTTAGATATCACAAAGGACATCGCTGCATATAATTCACAGAAATGCTGCTATTTCTTATATGAATGTAATCCAGGATCAAAAATCTCCTTTCCTTCCCCTATTCCAGTTTTGCTTCTTCAGAGACCTTTACCTTCACTTCATCAAATATCCCCCTCTCTTTTTACCTTCAATCTTCACCTCTTTCTTGCCTCTTCCCATGCTGCCTCAAACATGCTTCCCTTTGATTTTTTAATTATGATCTACAGTATATCTGCAATTGGGTTTTGTAAATGATCTAAGTTTCAAAGTTCTTTATTGTACATGGATGCCCACATCAGGCACTACTTATTTAGAACACCATCCATTGAGTTGGCATTGAGTTGGCATTTTGATTCAAATCCAGTAATGACATTGTGCAGGTCTGTCTCTGGACTATTTTGTTTCTTTGACTTACTTGTCATGAACCAATGCAACGCTCTTATATAATATTAGTAAATCTTGATAGCTAATAGGGTCGTTCTCTGGCTTTTTAAACTTCCTCTTCAACACTGCCTTGGTATTGTCTGCCTTTGCATTTCTTTTTATTTTATTTTTATTTATTTATTTTTTTGAGACAGAGTCTCACTTTTGTTGCCCAGGCTAGAGTGAGTGCCGTGGCGTCAGCCTAGCTCACAGCAACCTCAAACTCCTGGGCTCAAGCGATCCTCCTGCCTCAGCCTCCCGAGTAGCTGGGACTACAGGCATGCGCCACCATGCCCAGCTAATTTTTTGTATATATACTTTTAGTTGGTCAATTAATTTCTTTCTATTTTTAGTAGAGACGGGGTCTCGCTCAGGCTGGTTTCGAACTCCTGACCTCGAGCAATCCGCCCACCTCGGCCTCCCAGAGTGCTAGGATTACAGGCGTGAGCCACCGTGCCCGGCCATGCCTTTGCATTTCTATATGCATTTTTGAATGAACTTGTCTATTTGCACAGTTACCTTCTGGAATTTTTATGGGATTACATTAAATCTGTAGGCCAAGGCAGTAAATAAGTAGTGCCTGATGTGGGCATCCATGTGGAATTTTGATTTAATTTGCTATTTTCAAAGTTTTTCTGATAATTACTTTTATTATTGATTTTCTTTTTTCTTTCATATGAATGAAATTAAACCTATGAATTTTCCTCCACTTCCTGTTGTAGTTGAATTCCACAAGTTTCAATGTGCCACATTTTATTATTACTTTAGTTCAAAATATTTTATAATTTTCATTGTGATTTCTTTTTTGATTCATGAGTTACTTAGAATATTCTGCTTAATTTATGTATCTGGTGATTTTGTAGTTATCTTCTTGGAGTTGATTTCTGTCTTAATTCCACAGTGGTCTAAGAATATATAATACATATTTTCAATTGTTTAAAATTTATTAGACTTGTTTTATGGCCCAATACATGGCTATTTTGGTAATGTACCATGTGCATCTAGCAACAATATATATTTAATCACTGTAAGTTATAAATTGTATGTAGGATATATATGTGTGTGTGTGTAAACAATGTCTGTGAAAAATTATGGAACCTCTAGATGATCAGATACAGATATATAGGTATAGATACCTGTATAGATAGATAGACATTTTCAAATGTGTTATTTATATTGTTTAAACTTTTTATTCTTAAATATATTATTGTTTAAACTTATTATTTTTTTGTCTGATTCTCCAATACATTGCTGAAGAAGTGTAATCCGCAAATAGTTGTTCAATCCTGTTGCATGGTAATCCTTAATTTTTTTGTGAATTATACATTGTTCATGAAAAATTATGGATCTTTGGTTGATTATGTCCTCCAGAGAGGATTTAAATTTTTTCTTGGAGACAGAACGCAGGGAGATCACCGTGATCTAGACAAGGCTGAGTTTTAGGCTGGTCTGTTTCTAGTTTGCCCTTTTTCTAGAACAGAACTCTTCAAAGATCTTACCTAAGAGCCTAGATCATGTACAATGTCCCTTTTTTCTTAAAAAGCCTTGACCTCCAACTTTTGTCCCTCTAGCACTGTGAGACTATTAATGCCTCTACTTAGTTTTAAATCCCTTAGTGTCTACTTTCTACTTGTTTGTTTCTGCCTCCATCTCTACATGTGGACAGATTAGGAATCAGAAAATACCACAAGGGGAAACTGCCTGCAAGGTGTTGTGCTCCTATCTCTGTAGTTTCCTTTTCTCTGGGATCTTGGTCTCACAATTCCAAGCTACCTTTGATCACTGATATTTCATTAACATGAATTTATTTTAAATATTTTTAATTTTTAATTAATAAAATTGTATATATTTGCCATGTACAACATATTGTTTTGAAATATGTATACATTGCAGAATGGCTAAATTGAGTTAATTAACAGATGTATTACCTCACATACTTATTTTTAATGGTGAGAACACAGAAAATCTATTGTCTTAGCAACTTTTAAGGATATATTAACAAAGATAGTCACCATGTTGTACAATAGGTCTCTTGAACTTATTCCTTCTAATTGAAATTTTGTATCCTTTGACCAACATCTCTCCAACACTCCCTGCCCAAGATAGCCATCTATCTTGTCCCACTATCCCATTCCTTATTATATACTTCCGCAAGAAAAGTTATATTAAAGAGCTATTCTATCTCCTCGTTACATTGCTTATTACCTTCTAAATCTCTTCTCTGTCATTTCCAACTCCAGAAATGCCTGATGAATGTGGTGCAAGCTTCACAGCATTTATTTACAATAATCTGGTTCTAAACTACTTTTTGTATATTATTTTTTAAAATATTACTTTCTACTAATTTTGTAAAAATACCCTATACCCCATTGGAATAACCCTGTTTCCCATAGATGAGAGCCAATATATTCCTACCTCCATAATTCTACTCATAACTCTTGTTTTCATCTTAATGCTTTTCTCCCTTCTCTTGCCATAACCTTGCCTATTTTTTTAAAGTCTATATCAAGAGCTATTCCATTTATGAATATTATGTCGAGTCCCCCAAACAGGGGTAATGTCTCTCTTTTGTGAAACTCTATTGCACATATTTAATTTTGCCTTCTTTATCATCCTTTTCAAACTTATAAATATCTCCTGGAGTATAAGCTCCTTTCAGGGTGGGGTCTTTATCTTATTCACTACTGCACTACAGCACTTGGCACAAAGCCTGACATATGGAAGTCTCCCTTCAATAGAACAAAATAGAATTCAAATACATATCAAATATGGAGTATTACATGTGTGACTGTGTGATTACAAATGAGTTTCACAGAGACATATTTATGAAAAAGTTACCTGTTAAATAATGATTTCTATTTTAGAAATATAAATTTCTAAGACAGTTACAAGTTTGAGTCAAAGGGAAAATCTGACTATATAGATCAACATACAAGCACCTCATTTTAAAAAATCTGCCTTCTAGCACTTTTACAGAAAACAGTATGATCATGTGAGCTATATGCTATTATATATTTCTTTGTCTTTGATTTGAATATCCAAGTAAGGCAAACTGGAAAAATGCAACACAATTCAATTAAGTATGCTTCCCGAAGACATGCAAATCTTTAAAATGTTAATTTTATAACAGAAATTTCTGCATTCAAACAAAGACTATGTGAAGAGATTTTAGTGCTACACCATTCAGGTGTAATTTTATGGGGCTGTGAATTGAGAACTGGGGGTGTGCGTATGAAAATCGCTACTTACAAGGAGTATTCAGGAACAGCATCCTTGAAGGCAGGAAGTTCTCGCACATACTCATTATAAAACCATTTCACTTTGAAATGCAAATTCATATAATCGGTACTTTTGCATAACCGCTGCTTTTCATGTTCTATAACAGATAAAATCATACATTTAATAAAGCTTGGTTTGCCAACAATGCTTCTGTGTTCCAATCTACTTTCATTAGTAGCATTTCTAAAAGGAAAGAAATAGTAGATTAGCAGTAAAGGCGTAATGAATTGCTAAAAGCTGACCTAAATTTTACAAAATGCAAAGAAAATTACAGGTCCTACATAGAACAGGTCAAGGAGTAATACAAAATAACTTGAATGTTCTAATGTGTTTTACTGGGAAAAGTGAGAAGTCTGATGGAGTTAAGGAGTAATAACATACTAAAATTTTTCTATTTATCTGCAAACTTTCATATTTTGACTACTTTTAGTTTGATGCGAAGTGACAAAAAGAATTAAAATTCTAAGCATGGATAAAACATGAATTAGGAGCCATAATCACCAATTAATACTGGAAATATGAATGAGTAGGTCATATTTCTGGCCTAGATATTTACCACTTAAAGAATTAAGGTAGTTGAAAAGGAAAGGAAATATCTCCAACTTCTAAGCCATATGATTTTGTCTTTACTTTTCAAGTTTAGCTAAAATTATTAATATTTTTCACTCTGTGGATTTTTTTTATATTTCTTTAGCAGGATTTCCTAATATGTGGCATTTTTTCACTCTTGCTCATAAAGTATAGCTTAAAACAGTTATTGTGATCCAGACATATAGTACTTGGGAATGGAGACAATAATAATCTTATTGAACGTGTTTATCTCTGCTTTGTCCCCCAGAATTTTGGCCAATTCTGGTTTTAACTATGAACACAACCAAACCCAAAATATCCCTAGCTATATTCAGAATGAAAGTCCTCTCTTAGAAGTTCTGCTTGAGGTCTGTGAGTCTCCTAAGGCTTTTGATGTATAGGAGAAACATCCTATATTTTATATTCCAGGTGAAATTCTAAAAATACTAATTGAAGCAATTAGATTATTATAAATACATTGAAGACATCCCTGCTTTTCAAAGCCGGACTATAGAGGGACTTAAATTCCAATGGTATGACTGTGCACGGTGGCTCATGCCTGTAATCCTAGCACTCTGGGAGGCCAAGGAGGAAGGATCACTCAATGTCAGGAGTTGGAGACCAGCCTGAGGAAGAGCGAGACCCTGTCTCTACTAAAAATAGAAAGAAATTAATTGGCCAACTAAAAATATATAGAGAAAAAATTAGCCGGGCATGGTGGCACATGCCTGTAGTCCCAGCTACTCGGGAGCCTGAGGCAGCAGGATTGCTTGAGCCCAAGAGTTTGAGGTTGCTGTAAGCTAGGCTAATGCCACGTCACTCTAGTCTGGGCAACAGAATGAGACTTTGTCTCTAAATAAATAAATACATAAATAAAATAAAATAAAATTCCCAATGGTAAACACAAGAGAGCATACAACCCTAAATCAAATATTTTCAAATTATCAGAAAAATGATTAATTTAAGACAATTTGTAGAACCAAGTGGGGGGGGAGGGGGCCACATACAGATATGTGCTCACACAGAAACAACAGTAATAAACTAGTTCTTCTAGGCCAAACTCCCAAACACAATTATGAGCAAGACGATGTTCTGCTTGAGCTCTGGGATCCGTACATTCACAGTGCTTAACATATCACCAGTACAGACTCAAAAATTAAATGGCTCTCAGGCTCCTCTATCACGTGAGACCCACACTCCCTGCCAGCACAGAGTAAGCTGGAATGCTAAACACCTGTTCTCCTCACTACCACCACCTGCTCTTACGATTAACCCCCTCCATGCCCCAGAGTAATATTTTGGACCATCTTTTGTCCTATGTCTTAGAAACAAAAGGTGACTGTGTCCAAATGCTACCAAGGTTTGCAGGTGGTGCCATTGCTGACAACAGAAACAGATTCTACTTCGAAGTATGGGGAGAAGCTGTGGAAGCACTTGGGCAAGAGAAAGGGCAAACGAATTAACTTCCCAGATTCTTCCTTTGGGTAGCAGAAATGAAATAGATAGATACAATAAATTATTGTATGATAAAGTATCATTTTCAAGTATTAACAAGCATCCATTTTCTTACTTTTGTTTGGATCCAATTTATATTTCTGAAGGTACTTGGGAATTAAAACAGATACACATGATGGCTGGGAACTATTTTACATACTAAATAATTCATATTACTTTTCAGTTGTATATGTGTACTTCTAGATGTACTTTATGTGAAGCCTGATACTGATTCTTTGCCAACTAGATGGCCATTGAATGCTAGAATTGTCAGTAGCTTTATTTTATTTTTTAAATCTAGATACATGAGATTTAATTAATTGGATTTTATCTTCATTCAAATGATTTACTTAAAAATTATATCAAATAATAATTTTTATTTTTCCTTCATTTCTATAAATATTTTTGGAAATTTTAATTTCTTTCTTTCTTTCTTTCTTTTTGAAACAGAGTCTCACTTTGTTGCCCAGGCTAGAGTGAGTGCCATGGCGTCAGCCTAGCTCACAGAAACCTCAATCTCCTAGGCTCAAGCATCCTCCTGCCTCAGCCTCCCGAGTAGCTGGGACTACAGGCATGCGCCACCATGCCCAGCTAATTTTTTCTATATATATTAGTTGGCTAATTAATTTCTTTCTATTTATAGTAGAGGTGGGGGGTCTCACTCTTGCTCAGGCTGTTTTCGAACTCCTGACCTCGAGCAATCCGCCTGCCTCGGCCTCCCAGAGTGCTAGGATTACAGGAGTGAGTCACCACGCCCGGCAAATTTTTTGGAAATTTTAGAAGAAAATAACTTTCTAAAAACTATATGTGAACTATATCTGGGAATACATATGGATATAATTTTTAATTTCAACTTTTGTTATTTTAAATTTAAATTACAGCCTTTTATAAAATATATATTCAAGTCATATCTGTTTTGAATATGACATTTTATTTTTTAATTCTTTAAATATTAAGACCGTGTAAACTGAGATTGGGTAGAAAAAGGAAATGTGTAAATAGAATTCAGGAAAGAAAAAGTACTGAAGAGAAAATAGAAATAGAAAAAAATTCAAAGTGAAGGAGTGCTTAAATTTTTAAAACAGAAAAAAAATGAAAGACAGCAGACATCATGTGACTCAGGAAAGTTTTTATTGTCACCATTTTAAATGGAACACAAAATATTTGAAAATGTTGATTATAACTGCATAATTAATGATTTTGCTGCAATAAAGATGAGAAAGTGTATTTTCTGGAAGAAAAATATGATTTATCTTTATTTAAACACCAAATATTACTAATCTAAGCATAACACCTAGATACACATATTGATAACTAAATTTTCACTTTGACCATTTTTTTTAACTTTTAGTATATAAAACATAGCTCCTATTAAACACAAGTTTTATCATGTCAGTATGAAGGTATATTTTTTGAGGTAGGGAGATAGAATATATTTTATTTAAGAGTTTACTAGCTTGATTGATAAATTATAAATATTTAGATCTATATTATATAGGTCTTCATGGATGTTCTTGGCTCTGAAATGTTAGTAATGAGCTTGACTTAATGTGTTACCTCTTCCAAGAGTATTTGCACATTCACAGAATCCCACAGGGAAGAGAAACCCAGTTTCATTTTATACCAAAAATGTTTATTGAGTGTGTATCTTGTGCTGGCTCATGTGTGAGGCATTGGAGATATAAAGATGGCCACATGTTCTTTGATCTGAAGTTCAGGGAGCTTAAGGAGGAAGAATGACATATTAACAGTTAACACAATGTGGCAAGTGCCATGACTTACAGAAAGTATAAGGTGTTGTGGATTCTTGGAGGAGATGAATTTAGCCCAACTTTGTGCTAGAAGCCAACAATTAAGTAACAAATGATTTTCTGATAGTGATAGTAAAGTTTAGTGCCTGGAGAGGAGCTTATGTCAGAAGAAACATATCACATAAAACAAGATTTATTTTTCTTATTTAAATGGGATGCTATTTAAGATGTATGTGTGTCTCCCATGAATTTACATAACTATGTTTCCAATTAAAACCTTGGGCTTTCTCCTCCTCTCTACTCATGTTTTTAAGTATTTTGGTGGTAAGTTTGGTCACATCCTGAATTTCTGCGGTGCCACAAAAGGAAAGGGTTCACCCATCCCTGACCCTTACAATTCAGTAGCCTCTACACTCTGGAAAACAGGTAAAAGTCAGCTGTGGACAGCGTCCTAATGGGTTTTTCTGGCAGGACATTTAGGTCATTTGCTCAACTCATTTGCACTTCACTTCTTCATAACTGCAGTTGTTCTTTCCCCCTTATTTAGCTGTTTTGGTCAGAATTTGCAGACCTGCCCAAACTCATCCTTCTGGACTCTGCCAAAGCTTCCTGCATTGCTGCAGTCCCTTCATTCATTCCTGCTGTCCTCACAGTTCCAAAAAGGAAACACTTTTATGTGTCTAATTTGCTATAGCCACACACTGGCAAGTCGCTGCTTCTTCCTCACCTCCAACTCTCCCCATTGAGGATGGATATGGGCAAGAGATGGGAAACACACCCCTGACCATCCGACAAGATAAAATCTGGTTTTGATCTTGTCTATGGACTATCCATTTTAGTTCTTAAGAATGTGCCTGGTATGATAACTCAAAACTATCAGGAGTTTCATCAGCCCCTTTGCTGAAAAAAAAAATCATAGAAGAATTAGTGGTAATAATTTCCTCCTTCCTGAACTGCTTGTGAGCCCCTAGGAATTAGTTTCTATCCCTCTAAAGCTGTGTTTCTCTCATGTACTATCAACGAACATTTACTGTTCTCTGTGAACAGAAACAGATCCACTTATCTGTTTTTACGTTCTGCCAGTTCAACAAAAGAGTAATTGACATCTTTCCATGCCTGATGCACTTCAGATGATTTAACAGGAGTTTTTCAGTTTCTTGAGTTAATTGATGAGGTAGGTCTGATCTTGAGGACAGTGCAAACTAAAATGAAAGGAAGGGTGTGCTCCTGTAAAAGGAGATCCACATGTGATGTTTGTCCTCAAACAGCAAATGTCAAATAT